ACCTTGGATTTTTTTTTTTTTTTTTTTTTTTTTTTTGGTACTGGGGATCAAACTCAACTTTGCAGAGGGCAGCACCACTGAGTTAAATCCTTGGCCCCAGCACGGAATTTTTAAAGCAGAAAAAAAAATTCCAAAAAAGAAACTTCAATCTATAGCATTAAACTTTTAAGTAGGTAATATATATGTATGTGTGCTTTTATACCATCTTTTTTCTAGTCAATGGCTGCAAAAGTGGTGTCAGTACGTGCACACAGAATTAGAGGGTACAAAAGCTCAGTCTACATTATCATGTGTCTCTAACAATTTCATATAGGTAATTCTGTATATTGCTCATTTTTAGTACCACAATGTTATGGAAAATTATTCTAAAATGCTTTTACCATGTTATTGATGCCTTCTGTTTCTCTAATTTAGCTTTTATTTTTAGCTGGCTATGCTTCCTCTAAAAGCTGTGGGTCATCAAGGCAGTTCAAATGTAGCTCCTCATAAAGGGGAAGTATAACACCCAAATCAGAATTTTTTAGCAGACTATTTTCTTTAATGTTTACTCCTTAAAATGTTTCAATAAGTAATTTTAAAAATTTGCTTAGTTTCTCGTTTCATGATTATTGACTCCCATTAATTTAGCCCAAGGTGGTTCTCTCAGTTTGTACAAATGTATTAGGTGCCCATTAATTTCACTTCCTATTCCAATCCATCAGTCTGTAATTCTGTTCATCTCTTATTGTGGGTTCCTTGATCCCATGTCCTACTTTTCTTGGTTTATTTCTTACTTAGGAAGAACACATCCTCCATTAACTTCTGGAGAAAAAAATGCATGGAATGTTTATTTGTTGAGAAATTTTGGGGTTGAAAATTACTTTATTAGTCTTGTAATTGGCTGATGTTACAGAATTATAAGTACTTTTTCTTTAGAAGTTTGAAGTATTGCTCCATTACCCTGTAATTTCCTGAGTTCCCGAGTTCAGTCCATTCATCTTCGTATGCATCACATGAAACCTACTTTTCTCTCTCTAAACTTGTATGATTTACTATTTGTAGGGTTGAGTAAAACAGAAGACAAAGATACAGAGAGCTCCTAAAGTCTGATTGTGCTCCTTTATGCATTTTATGCTTCTCACAATTTCAATTAGGTACTCAGTAACCATACATGATCAGTACTAAGGTACCGTGCTACTGGAGACCTCTGCAGTAGGTTCCAGTCTCCTGCCCAGTGTACAATGCAGGGCTGAAGAAAGACTCAAAGAAAGAAACAGAAATAAGGAGCCAGGATGGCCAGTGCTGAGCAACCAGCAAAGGCTCTGGTCATTCCAAGATGCTGATTTTTATTGGTAATCTAATTGGGTTAAAAGGGAACTACATGCTAAAGGGGAATTATGTGTGAGGACATGCAGTTGTGCAGTTGCTATATATACTACACAGGCAAAGACTGTAAAGGGAAAATACAATGCATTCTCAAATTAGGAATGGACAAAATGCAGGGTTGTAGCTAGAACCTGATCCTTCTAGGTAAGGTTTTAGTTGTGGGAATGAAATTTGGGTGTGAGCTACTCTGACCTCAGCTACTATATTCTCACATTAAGCTGCACAGATTCACAGGCCATTTCTCTGGTCTCTGCTGTGGCCATTAGCAGGAAGGTCATGCTAATCTATGCGCACCATAGTGCTTGTGAGGTGTTTCCATAAGTCATGTAAGCTTCACAGACTTGCTTCTTAAAATGAGGCAATTTGAGGGATTTAACTCTTTATAGCCTGCTTTGGGCATAATCAATATTGCAGAACCCTGCACCACACCATCCCATGGGCCATGCAGCCCCAGATGGACCGCTATAGTGACAAAACCAGCTTCTGCATGTCTTTCAAAGACGGGAGTTTAAATCCAATAACTAAACACTCATAAAACCAGAAATTGTTGAACACAGTCATAAGGTAGTCATGTAACATGTCACTTCTTTTTAGAACACTGATTTTCAAACTTTAGTTTCATGTACTGCCAAGAAGGTAGGGTTGTGGAAATGAAAAACAAATTTAAATATATGCCTGGAACAGGATTTAAATTTAAAATAAAGGAAATCTAAGAACAGATCACCTATAAATATACAATGAATTTTTCTTTTTTTTATATTGGTGGGGTTAGGAACTATCTCATTTTGGCATAGGTCGTGTCATGCAACAGAAATAGCTCATGTATAACCCACATTTCTTTTTATTCTCAGTACTAGGAATCGAACTCAGGACCTTGTGCTTGTGAGGCAGGCGCAGTGCCAATGAGATAAATCCCAAGCTACCCCCGCCATTTCTTTTTTAAATTTTAAGGCAAAAAAGTTTTCTCCATACAGATGTCCACTTCTTAAATTTCTTCTCATTGGAAATATCAAACTATCCCCACATAATACTAAGGGGAAGTAGGTCACACACAGAAAATCTCTATCCTGTATAATTCCTTTTATATGAAATTTGAAACATGCACAACAAACGGAATTGCAGCGTTGGTGGGGCTGGATGAGGCAGGGCCCAGGAGCACAAGGAAGCCCTCTGACACGCTGAAGTATTCTGTATTGGTACAGGTAGCGGAGACGTTAAATTGAAGCATTTTACATTATCATACAAACTTAGGGACCCATTTTTAAATTTCTTAGAAAAAAAACTGCTTAGTGATCCTGCCATTACTGAACACAGCATGTTTTGCCCTTGTCAAGATGACAAAGCCTCTCATTAAGAAAGAAATATTTAAAGGCGCTTTCCAAACCTTTCTTCCCGGAATGCACCCCACTTCCCACCTCCCCAAGGACGCTCCCACATCCAGCTTACAGCCAGCTCAAAAGTGAGGGGAGAGGGGTCAGGACACAACAGCCCCAAGTCCCTGCCTCCCTCGAGCCAAGGGAAGCTCTCAAAATGAAGTGGCAAGGAGCTCTACGCAAACTCCAACTTTTCAATGGTCCCTTTACTATCTCCTATCTTGCCCCGGCTCATGGACGAATCTGGACACCGGGGTATTTGCAGTGTAATTTTACCTTGACAACTCTGAACAGGATACAAAGATGGAAAGGAGGTTTATCGAAATATTCATGAACTCTTAACTTTTTTTTAATCTTTCTGGTACTAGGTATTGGACATAGGGCCTTTGCACTGAGCTACACCCCTCAGCCCTTCTAAGTATTTTTTGAGACCGGTCTTCTAGTCGCCCAGGATGGGCTTGAACTCGCAGAACACTGTAGATCGGGCCAAAGCGTCCGACTCTAAAGCGGCCCTGAGGCTCCGTCCTTCCCTCTTCCCGTAGGGCGGGGTGTGTGGAGGGCCGAGGGCGTCTGGGGAA